TGGCACTCGAAGTGCCCAAATAGATTTAAAAATCCTTTTTTCCTCTGAACAAACATCATTTTGATTCAAAGAATGAATGAGATGATAACCTGATTTAACGCTATATTCACCATCCTTTGTGTAGTTCCAAACCAGATGATCATCTCCACCGCTAACACTAGGCTTTATAAGCTGGATCTTAGAGATATCTTCTGCAACCACCATTTGATTTAACTTTGTAATATCCATATTGCAGTACCTGGAATCAACAACTCAGAAACCTTCATTTCAGCTGAAACCCTATTATTTATACATCTAGCAGGTTTCGGTTGTAAACCATTCAGCCAATTATCCTTTCATGCCTTAATTTGTTCCCCATTTCCAACAATCCATTTAGTACCCCTAGAAAGAGCTTGAGTACCTTGATAAATGCTCTTCCATGCATAGCTGGACTTGCTTCTCCTCTTAGCTTCAAACAAAGTTGACTTGTTAAAATATTTTGCCTTGTAAACTCTAGCAAGCAGAGACTCTTCCTTCTCTCTCACTCCATTTGAGTTTTTCATGAACTGTTTCCATTTTTTCCGTGTTTAGTCAAATTATATGTTAAAAATTTCTTAATAAAACTATTTACATTAGAGATCTCATATCTTGAAATATAAATATGATCATTCTTCACCAGTTGCACATGAAATGGCTAAGCCAAATTAGTAATTAAGATATGACACGTATATATATAGATATATTACACAGCATTACAAAAATTTATTAAAAAAAAAATTACTTTAATAAATTTTTAGTCTCTTTCTTACTTCAGTCCAAATATATATCTCTATATCCACTTTTGAAAATAGAAAAGTTTTACAATTAAAAGAAAAAACCTTAAACACTTGCAGATTGGAGCCAATATGAATTCCAATTATTACTTAAAAGCTGACAATAAGAGTATTTGTTTTTTTATTATCAATTTATCATTATACATAATGCAAGCTAATATTATTAAATCTAACTATAATCAACGACACATGTAAAAGTTCAGAGTATCTCTTGTCAGAAGATTATATGTATTTTGTTTCTGTTTGATTTGTCGGTTAAACGAATCTGAAAAGCCCGTCTTCTAAACAAATGTTTAAAATGGTGAAAAAATAGATATTGAAAAGTGGGTAAGATCATTCGTGCAGAAGTGTACGCGTCTCAACATCTTTCGGCCTCCATCTAATTAGTATTTTTTTTCCCATATCCGAAATTGGAGAGAAAACAATCTAACGGGCTAGATGTGATAATGTAAACGCTGATCTAATAGCGAAATCGGCCTTAGCCTATGAACCAACAACAACCGGGTTATTATCCGGTTTAATGAAGTCAAAATTATGTTTTGATAAAAAAAAAAACAATCTAACGGGCAAAATAAGAGACTTTAAATGGTAAAAATATGTAATTTTATAATTATATTCAATTATATTATAAAAAAAATCAATAATTTCAACGGCCGTAATCACTGGAAACACGTTCTGAAATCTGGTTTCTCGGAAGGAAAGTGTTATAAATCAATTCATTGGAAGGTTTATTGGAAGGTTTCCAAAATTTTGCTACAAATTATATTTCAAAAAATCACCGAACAAAAGTTTATAGAAATATCACACGAAATTCCGTCGAATAACGACGAGGAAAATAGTTTCAAAAAAAACATCGGTAATAACCAAAAAAATTACAAGAAACAGATTTATTATATAATAATATTATTATTTTCATAAAATTTCACTAGAATTTTTTGGATTAAAAAAATATCGTCTCGAAATATTGTTGGAGACATATTTATCATAAAATTGCCAGACAATTTTCTTGAAATTTTCAACTCCATAGATAATTAAATTCCAGAGGAAATTTCAAGGTTTGTGGTATTTCGAAAAAAAAAAATCTAAAACCTAACTTAAATTGAATCGATACTAAAATATATAGAAAATTTAAAATTAAATACAAAATTTAAATATCTTACAACGCATAAATAGTACAAAACATTAAAAGGCAATTAACTAAATAAAAATTTGATGTTTATGTTTTGTTTCGCTTAAAGATTTTGATTTTCGTTGCGGCTTAAGAAAGTGGAACGTGATCATGAAAACTCTGACTCATAACGCTACTTCAATATATACCACATCTTGTACTTAGAAGCGATCTTTATGACTAAACTATTATTTTTGGGTGTGTGGATGAATTTTCTAGCATCCTAGAAAACAAGTTTGATAACAAATTTAATGTCTTGAAGCTAAAGGTGGAGAACAATATAAGAGTTGAGAGATTGTTAATATGGTTAATTAATGAAGAGAATAGGTGGATGAGCAAACATGTTATATTACAAATGCTAGAATTTTGTTGTCGTAAGAAAGATAAAATAATAGAATTTTTTTTACATTGATTGATTAGTGTCTACATTGTGCTTTAATATTTAGTTTCAGTGAGATAAAATTAGTCAGAAATCAATAGATTTAGTCTAGCAAATCTTGGCATTTGAATTAGAGATTCAATGGATTGTTGTCAAAAAAAAAAAAAGATCATGAGAGGTAATTTAGAGTTTGAGAGTAAAACAGAGTGTATAATCAGAGTATACTTAAAAATCAATCGGACCACGTGCTAGAAAGGCTTTGTGTGTGGTTATATCATCAAAGTGTATATGAAACACTAATAGTCATCAATAACTTTTCAAGTTGAAACGTCTTTGATGGATTTTGGACATATGGTGGTAATTCCAAATATTCAATAAAGCTAATATTTTGTGAGAAAGTAAAATTTAAGTATCATAAGTCTGGATTGAAACTCCACAAATTTGAAGTAATTAAATTGGGTTCTTCAAATACTTTTAAATTTTACAATCGATTAAATAAAGGGATAGTTGCACAATAACCCACAATTTGTGGTCAATGTCAAACCTATACCCCTATATCCCCTCTCTCTTATTTTGCCACTTTTTCCCTTCTTTATCCTTCTCCTCACCACTTATTCA